TCTCTCTCTCTCTCTCTTTTTCTCTCTCTCTCTCGCTTTCTCTCTCTCTCTCTCTCGCTCTCTCTCTTTCTCTCTCTCTCTCTCTCTCTTTCTCTCTCTCTCTCTCTCTCTCTCAGTATGTACACTCTCTCCACAACGTAACCCTTACACTGCATTCCTCTCTCTCATGCCTGCAGTCCTACTTCGAGGACAACCCGCGGGACCTGCAGGTATTGAAGCACGACAAGCCGCTGCACACTGTGCGCACGCAGCAGCATCTGAAGCATGTGCCGGAGTACTTAGTCCCGCCAATGCTGCGGAGCATGCGCGCCGGCACCAAGCGCCGGCAGCCACACGCATACAAGCCAAAGCCGGCCCCGACGCAGACGCAGATGAGGTTCAAGGTGCATGTGTAGAGATTCAGCGAACATAAGGGCTGGCGTATGAAAATATTCAGGGGACATAATGCGAGAAATGTTTGGGGTGATGTTACCCAGCGAAGTTTCATTTTGGATAAGTGTGGTTGTAGACCAATGCAGTCAGTCTGCTCATCGATTTTCTAATAATTCTTAATAGTTCAGTGTTTTTTTAAATTGGGTTCTAATACTCAAGAAAATTGGGTTCTACTGGTCCCCCACCCATCTGTGGTTCTGTGTTTAGATCATTCATAATATAAGTATGTGTAGGGTCGTGTACTGCTTTACTTCTGCATCACAATGTCTGGGGGTATATACAATTGAGGCTTCAGCTTACGCATGATTTCAACAGGAGCGTATAATGACAAATACGTTTTTTTTTTTAATTTGTCATTATTGTCATTTAATTTGTCATTATTTAATTTGTCATTATTTTTAATTTGTCATTATGACAAATTTTTAATTTGCCATTATACGCTCCTGATTTCAACTATGTCTGACAATTTCCACATATGTCAGATGTTTCTTCATAGCTTTACTACTTGTACAGCTGGTGTCATAATTTTCGGACTAAAGTTGCTTGTAGTTCTTATACTATATGTTTGATGTTTATATTCATTTTTTTGCAGAAAAAGAAGGAAGATCCACTGAAGAGCTTTGAGTTTAGTGGTTTGAAACACATTCAGAATGCAAAGAAATTTAAGAAGAAGAAGCACTAAGTAATCGCATCGTGAATCCACTTACCTAGATATGCATGAACATATCTTTACTGTACACTATAGATATATTTGTGATATATGACAGGTTTTGGTGTCATTTCATGGTTGTTCGTGAAAATGGTATTTTCGTACGAATACACATATCTATTTGCAATATGTAAAACTACATGTAAATGTATATAGCATTCAATGTGAATTTTGAAATATGTCACCATATTTCTTAACTGCAATTGATGAATATGTTCTATGCTGTCAGAAACATGATACCGTACTCTAAATCCTGACTATGGACATGTTCCCTGGAAGGATACACGAGATAAAAGCTAATAGATTTATAATAATATGTGGAGGTTGGATTAAACTATAACTGAATTGTACACTTATGAGTGTGCACGATCATGCAAGCAAGTTCATAAATAAAATCTGTATATGTAATCTGTATTAACAGCGGTATTGTGTAAATAAATCACAACACACAGAAAGAGTGTTTGAAATACTATCATCTATTATTCAATTTATATTTTTATAATGCACAAAATAATTATGCTTCATATTTTCTATTATTTATAATTATTACAATGTTTCTAGAATCGTTTGAGTAACGAAGTGTCTTCCTATCCGTGTCCAAAGAGTAAATTGATATGTGATGTCCAAAGAGTAAATTTAACTGTAATGTAGCTTGGAGTGATAAGATGATTACTCCAAGAATGTAGCAAGAAATTACGATGATGATAACAATATATACTAGAATTATAATGAAAGGTACATAGTGAGCTATTACAGAAATTAACTTACAATACAATTCTACGTTATGCACATGTATAGACATGGAGTAAAAATTAAAAATTAATAAAAATATAAATTATTGTGCAAAAGCTTAAAACAACTGAGCATCAGTGGACAGTGATCAGAGGCAAGATGTCGCACACGAAAATGATGGCAACCCCTGTAGTTCAGGCTGCGAGGGAGAATACGCTTGCGGTGACACGTAATTATAACACGCAGCCAAGATTGAGTAAGTACTGTATTATGGTTTTTTGTAAATTCCGACGAGTTGAGTGTTTTTTACATAATGATTATGTATTGTTTGTATGCAATGAATGTAATGAATTAGTATTCTAATGTTGTCCGGTGGGCCTTGAAAGTTGGAGTTGAAGTTGGAACTTGGAATTTTCCGCCCCGCACTTCTCTGGGGTCGTTGACGTGATAGTATCAGAGTAAAGACTTAATTTTACATTTGGTCCGAGTGCTGTATATTTCCCTTTCATGTGTATTTTGCCGCGAGTAAATATCTGTATTGTACTTGTAGACTGCCCTGCCCCTGGCAATGGCCAATGCCACTGTACAATGACATGATTCATTGATTGCACTCGTGACTCGTCTTATTCGCTGATTTGGCTAGCAATGTCAGTTAACACGTCAAACTGCAAATCAGCAACATAAAGTTTGATCGATGAATAGCAAATTGAACAGGGTCAAGTTTTGCAATGAATAAGCATTCCTGTATGCAAAATGAACTTGTGCTAGCCTATATTGCTCGCCTACTAGCAATATTTAATACATCTGATTTCTTTTGGTGTATGACATTTCCTTGACCTGCCTGGATTGTTGGAATTGCAACATTTGTTGTATTATCTTGTGTCTGTATAATATACCGGTATGTAAGTAAAATATCTCAAGACCATGAAACGCCAAAGAATATACAAAGATAACATGGTTTGTACCAGTATTCACTAACTTGCACCAACAACTTTTTTCAGGGCACTTCATTGCCCGTGTCACATCTTTTGTGTGTTACATTAAAAAACAAACAAAGACAAAATGTTTACGTTGACTGATTGACTTATTGACTGATTGACTCAATGACTACATTGATTGATTTAGAGCTATCAAATACATAAATACATACACTCACGGAGTGTGTTTGTACTGTAACTCTGGCGCAATATACATCTGTTCACAATGGTATCAATCATTGCAGTGTTCACCCTTGAACTTTGAACTTTGCAGCGTATAAGACCGTGTCTGGTGTGAACGGTCCGCTAGTCATCCTTGACGATGTCAAGTTCCCCAAGTTTGCTGAGATTGTCAACCTAACGCTGGCTGATGGCACCGTCCGCAGCGGTCAGGTGCTGGAGGTCAGCGGCTCAAAGGCTGTCGTACAGGTCAGTGTGGTCACGCGAGTCTGGGAACCAAGTTTGGTAATAATAACAACATCAACAATAATAACAACAACAGCAGCAACAAAAACAAAAACAACAACAACAATAATAAACAACATCAACAACAGTAGCAACAACAACAACAACAACAACAACAAAAACAACGACAACAACAACAAGTATCCTACAATAAGTATTGTGATGCGAACAAGCCAGAAAGTTGCAGAAATATAAGCTTAGTCCAGTCTTGGAAATGAGTCTGAAAACTCAGCCAGTTCAGATTTCAAAAAGTTTGACTTCTATTATATAACCTATTGTAAAATCCATAGAAACTAGCCAGCCCTGCTCAAACGTTACTAATCCCATATTATGGGCATGAGGGGCTGCTCTCTCCAATACTGCTCAGACTGCGCAGCTTAGTGTACTCGCACACTGTATGCGGATTAGTTTAGCCATGTAGAAAATTGCAGCCTGTCCCCCTGTTTGGAACTAATAACTTTTGAACAAGACTGGTATAGCATGACACTTCCAATTTCCATGACACCCTGGTTCATTTGGCATTACCATACTTGATGTAAGGTTCTGTGACTGTATAACATACGTAATGGTAAAGCCTTAGAAATTACGAACTAAGGAAATGGGTACTGATGCGAACCGCTCTACTCTCTATGTTTTAAGTCATAACATGATGGGACCTATGCTGCTGTAGTAGCTGCATCTACTATACATATATTGTAATGGTACTTGGTATGCTGCCTCACGTGTGATGCAATATATATCATGTAAGCATGGTCATTTGTTTGTAACTTTGTCACACAGGTTGGCTATATGAGAAATGTGTTGGTCATATATCAGGGTGTCTTATACATAGAGGCACAGTGGCGCACCGCCGAACATTGTCAAATTTAACATCGCCATTGTGAAAATGTACCTCTATTTACCCGCCGTTGTCAAAATAGTGTCAACCCAAAAATATATACAGCGTGAGAAACTAGCGGTCGCCCAGTCGCCAGTGGCGATTAGAAAATCGACCGGGCGACTGCTTGCTCGTGCCAGCTGGTCCGGCGGGGCGACTAGATAATCGCCGCACACTCAACGCATCAACGCATGATTTGCCACACAAACAAAAACTCGGACAGTCTAAGAAATCGATTGCTACATCGCCGGCAGCCCAGAGTTTTTATGACCACCTAACAATAAGTTTTTATATCGCAGGGGTTATCGTGGGGAGTGATGATCGATCGAGGGCACGACCAGTCGGACACCTGACACGCACGTAATCAAAGCTGTTAACTGAATTCGTCACTTTTCTTAACGTAGAAAGTGGACTGTTTTTATTCAGTTTAGATATCTAGAAGCAATATTCTAGTCTAAGTATATTCTAGATTCTAGGCACTTGTAACTTTGCGGATGTGCGGCAGCATTGATCTATGCATGGGGGTACCGTGGACTGGGGAGGAGAAAACGAAAGTAAAACCTTGCCCAGAAGCTCCCCGCATTCCTAGAGATTCCAGTAAAAGTTTTTTTTAACATACTCAAAGTAACTAAAAACACGCTCTGAAGTTCTGAAATTGTCCAGTCGATGTAAAAAGAGTTGAAAGATGAAGGAAATGAAGTAAAAAAAAGAAACTTTGAAAATAACCATACCATCATTACCATGATTATAATTCTTTGATTTCCTGTCTTTGTCATGTTACCTGACTATGTGTACTGTGTAGTGCATATCTGTCTGTGTGAATGAAATTGAATAAGAATGTGATTGGTTTCTTAGTCGAGTGAAATGAGATAAAAAAAAATGTGATCGAATGTAATTTGTTGACGATTTCTTAACACTGATAGTCTCATACTGGTGTAGCTCCAAGAAACGGTATTGCTAGGTAGTATATTGACGTTAGTCACACAGCCTGGTTACTGGTGCTGAGTGCTGAATGCTGATGAATAATATTAGAGTCAGTGAGTGCATCAAAATCATGCTATGAAAAAGTAGCGCTGGCCAAGCCTAAAATAGCTCCCGTAAAAAAAATTACGAGCTCTTTTTCATACAAAATCAAAAAAGAGCTCTCGTAAAAAAAGTAATTTTTAGGCTGCCGCACAGGAAATAAAAAATTTACCAAACTTATTATTTTGTTATTTTCTACTAACCTTCTACATTATTCTAATGAAATGAATGGTAAATTTAAAGGCTCAATGCGCATCCAAACGCTAATTTCTCCAGTACTAGACTAGCAAATACTTCGTGTAATGCATAATCACACTACCTTATGACAAAATAAACTAGTTGCTCTCATTTCACTGCGCGTTTGCTTAAAACCCACAAGAAACAGGTGAGAAAACTGGCATTCTGGCGCAAACGCCGAAAGTACACAAACTTTCCATGTTTGTTGTGTTCGATTTTCTAGGTCATGCTGTTAAACCTCTGCTAATTCGATAATACTGGGCATCCCCGACCAATCACTGAATCAGCGATCGCGTAATAAAATATGATAATTTTGATGATAATAGGAATAATGGCCGGTCTTCAGAGACCGCTGATCTTTGAAATCGACTTGCGGACTTGTTCCGATTTACTACGCATCAGTGTATCGAAACGTGTAAAAAATATAATGTTTAAGAATACCTTAGAATGCACATCACCAAATTGCACCATCCCCCCTATAAAAACGTCCCCACATCCAAGTCATTCACTTTGCTATGACATAAATCCTGGACCAGTGCCTACTGACCAGGACCAGTGCTTCCTCAGAGGCACTGGTCCTGCTGGACCAGTGCCTCCAATTATCAGTTTTTCACCCTGATATAGATCACCACGTGCTCCCAATAGATTCCCCCTCTCGCTCTCTCCCCCGTGTCCGCCTGCATGGCACGCCTTTGAATCCATCATGTGTGTTTTTTTTCTCCAAATTGGCCATTACCTCCTTTGTCTAATTTTCCCTCAGAAAAAACCCTGTATATATGGGATATTTGGTGAATCAAGCATTGACTGTCGACATTTCCATGTGTAGGTGTTTGAAGGCACTAGCGGCATCGATGCCAAACACACGGTGTGCGAGTTTACGGGTGACATCCTGAAGATAGCCGTGTCAGAAGACATGCTGGGAAGAGTCTTCAACGGATCTGGAAAGCCGATCGACAAGGGTCCACCTGTGATGGCTGAAGACTTCCTCGACATCATGGGTATGGCGATGCTACATTTCTGGATTGTACTGGAAATCGGGATTTTGTAAAAAAATGTAAAAAGTTCCAAAAAAAATCAGAAAAAAATCGGGAAAAATCCAAAATCCTGAAAATCAGACCCAAAATAACACTATTTAGAATGGATTTTCATCATTGTGAATTAATGGATTAAATTTAGCATTAGGAAGCTTTCGTTTTGCACTGTCCAGGGGTGTTCCAGGGGTCCGGAGGGTTCAACCCACCAGGGGCCCTAAGGCAGGCCGCTGGACCCCCGGCCGTGACGTGCTCCGCTCGCTATGTTCGCTACGCTTTAATTGGTCACTACTTAATAGTTAGGATTTTTTGGAACCACCCTGTAGCATCTCTGGTATGGCCTCTTGATGTTTGCGCCTAGTAGTGAGTGTATTAAAACGCAGTCGTAAATGTATTAATGTCAGGTGTTAATGTGTAGGAGAAATCTTGTGGGAGTAAATCGGCGTGGTGAAACAGCTCAATTTGCAAAAAAGTGCATATAACATTTAGTGTCTTCATGCCATCATGTATATGATGTTGATGATGAACGATTGTGGATCCTTATAAATGCATTGATGTAATATATCGATATATAATGAAGATCAGTAATTACAATATGGTAGCTGTATGAATTTTGCGCAGTGGAGTTCGGATCTAACTGAGATCAACTTTATTTGCATGTAAACTATATAGAGATCCGATGAAATTATTCAATCATGCAGTGGAGTTTCTTGAGCGGAGGCTTTCATCCATTGGCAGGTCAGCCCATCAATCCGTGGTCGCGCATCTACCCGGAAGAGATGATCCAGACAGGCATCTCTGCCATCGATGTACAGAACAGCATTGCCCGCGGTCAGAAGATCCCTATCTTCTCTGCGGCTGGCCTGCCCCACAACGAGGTGAGAGTGAAACCCACACGTCTGCACGTGGAGAGAGAGACCCTCACTGTTCCTCGTCAGGGGAGGGGGTATCTGGCTCTTGTGTCCAGGGGTCGGTTTCTCAAAGCGTAATTAAGTCCTTAATCATGATTAAATTACTAATCATGATTAACCTCCCATACTTAAATTGAAGTGACTGTTTCACGAAGCGTAATTAACTTTAATCATGATTAAGTTAATCACAATATTTAATTCTACTCCGGAGCATGATTAAATCCACTAATCATAATTAGTTGCTATAGTACTAGTAGTAGTATGTAGGTATAGTACTAGTACAGTAAGTAGGCTGCAGATTTTACAATTGGAAATTTTACTTCCATTTTTTCTTAGTGAAATATAAATTATCTAAGATTAGCTGTACTAATTTAGTAATTATAATTGCAAATTAATTTCTTTTCAGGTACTTTTGCATTGTCCGCCATTCTTAATACAGTGTAATTCATGTCTAAGTCGGCTAATTATGTGATTTGTTAAATATGTACTTAAATCGCGTCGTGAAACAGATTTTTAAGTATGATTAACTAATCATAATTACAGGAGGTTAATTATGATTAGTGTAAAGTTAATCACACTTCGTGAAATCGGCCCCAGGATTTTTTGTATCTGCAGAGTGTGTTGGTGTCGTGGAAGTTATGTTAATGGTAGGGCTGTAACGATACACAAGCTTTTCGATTTGATCCGGTTCTCGATATTAGCCTCTCAATTCGATTCCTTTGATTCGATTCCCAAAATATTGAAATGTTATCTTATTTTTTATATTTTCATTATTTTGCAATAATAAATTATTAGTGGTGAATAGACTAGAGAGTCTAGAGAGGTATATATACACTGCACAGTCGCTGAGTAACATTGGTGAGTAACACCAGAGCATATAAATCAGTAATTTATATATGCTCTGGTAACACTCCACAGTATATAGCCGTATATGTATATGTATATATATAGCACGTAGTGCCGCCATCTATTGGAGGAAAAAAGTGGTATCGAAGTGGAATCGAAAATACGGGGAAAAATATTGAGGATCGGATCGAGGGAAGAGAATCTTGATCCGATTCGATTTCGGTGGATCGTTACAGCCCTAGTTAATGGCATGTTTAATTTCAAGGGAAGTTGTTGTGGGTTTTGAGGCATTGTGGGGAGTTGATATGTCGTGACTAGATGGGAAATGGCAGGAGGTGGTGTTCATCGTAACATATTGAATTAACTGCTGTAGTGCTAGCATAGAGCCTTATGCGTCAATTGTGCATTTATTATTGCAGACACTTGTGTGCACGTCAACAGTTGGTGTGTTGTTGCAGGCACGGTTGTGTGCACATCAACAGTGTGTTCATTGTGTGTAATTCCTGCGTATATTGTTGTAGATTGCTGCGCAGATTTGCAGACAGGGTGGTCTGGTCAAGCTGCCGGGCAAGAGTGTCCTGGATGACCACGAGGATAATTTCGCAATCGTATTCGCTGCCATGGGTGTAAGCACATCATTTTTCGCCTTTCCAATAAAGATTGATATACATAGTTTGTGTGTAAGATATGTACAAGAAGTTTTTATGTCAGAAAATCTTGGTAAGTTGAAGTAAAAATCAAAGGTAAAAGCACCAAAGTGGTATTTGCAGTCTTTAGTCAGTAGTTGCATGTCGAGTAGACAGAAAATAATTTGTTAAGAATCAAGTTTTGCTACTGAGACTTAATAATAATAGTTCGATAGACATGAGGAGATATATTGAGCTTTGGGGGGAGTCCCAGCATGTCCGAGCAAGTTCGCAGCAAAAGAACAGGGCAAGACCGATGTAGCAGTAGGTTACTTCTACCTCGGACAGTTAATGTAATACAGGTTATGTCGGCCAGTAGCGTTTCACGATGGCATGCTTTCGTCTATCGCAGGTAAACATGGAGACTGCGCGATTCTTCAAGCAGGACTTTGAGGAGAATGGGTCGATGGAGAACGTGTGTCTGTTCTTGAACCTGGCCAATGATCCAACGTGAGTAGATGGTGTGCGATACGTAAATCACCATCAACGTGACCGGACAATGTCTAAACTTGACCTCAAACAACCGTATCATGCCTGTTAGTGATGTCACGATCATCGATTATACTCGATCATCGGTTGAACAGTGGCTCGAACCAAGCGCTTGGTTATCAAAATCAATAATCAATTTCATCGAAAAAAACAAAATCGAAAATAAATGTAAAACTTGAACAAGAAAACTTGGAAAACTGATGAGAATCAGAGAAGTCACTGCTATTTTAGTTCGGGAATCACCCGGAATTTGCCGGAGTTACTTCCTGTTGAGGGGCTAAAGCCTAGGACACACTAGGGATTTTATACGCTGGCTAAACAAGCACATACATGCACACACGTACATGCACACGACGTTACGCACACGCAGGCATTCAACACCCCGAGTAACCGATTGTAACCAATCATCGGTTACTTGGGTCCAACCGATGATCGATTACGAAATTACAACCGATTGACAACACTAGTGCCTGTGTCGTTGTTACCTACATATATATAAGCAAAATTGGCAGGGTTCGAAATTAACAGTAGTCAGTTAGTCTAAAACTACCAGATTTACTAACAGATGTGTAGATTGCAGCAACAACTAGTCCAGTGGACTACTTGACTGTCAGCGTCACTTTAACTTAACTTGGCAATGTCAGTTTTGATTTATACAGATAAACAAACTGATAATTTAAATGGTATCTCTTTCCTGCAAACATTTATTTTAAATAAATTAAATCACCAATTTACTTAAAAGTAGTCTTCATTATTACATATTTACAAAATTCTGAACTACAAGAATTGCTTGCGGACTACCAGATTACAAAGTTTAGTAGTCCGTATGACTACAATTCAAAGAAGGTTAATTTTGCACCATGCATTGGTGCTGGTATGCCAGTCATTGTTACCTGCACAAATGAGATTGGTACTGATGTGCCTGTCATTGTTACTCACAAAAATGACATTGCTTCTGATTCATGGGACATTGTTATTAACTTGTCAGACATCAGCACTCATGTGAATCTGATCATCTTTACATGCAGTTACTATTTAACGTAACTGTGAATTTGTACAATAGTAACATAATATTGTTCCTGTGCTGTTTACTAGAATTCAACAAAACAATATTTTATGTTGCCTATACACATTACTCTATCAATTACTGCGCTGAATACGCAAATTTTCTAATCAGCAATAATATTTATATCAAATCTCCGAAAAAAATTTGATGCAGTTACCATTTCGTGTTGCACGTAATAATTTATGGTTCTTGGTTACCATATTCTACAACATCCCGCACTGACCTGTGTATGTGTGTGACGTTGTTACTGACCCCCCTCGCGTGATTGTTACTTGCACTGCGTGTAGGATTGAGCGCATCATCACGCCGCGGTTAGCTCTCACGACGGCAGAGTTTCTCGCCTACCAGTGTGAGAAACACGTGCTCGTCATTCTCACCGACATGAGCTCCTACGCTGAAGCCCTGCGAGAGGTAGGTGCGAGCGTGCGCAGAGATGCTGCGAGAGGTAGGTGCGAGCGTGCGCAGAGATGCTGCGAGAGGTAGGTGCGAGCGTGCGCAGAGATGCTGCGAGAGGTAGGTGCGAGTGTGCGCAGAGATGCTGCGAGAGGTAGGTGCGAGTGTGCGCAGAGATGCTGCGAGAGGTAGGTGCGAGCGTGCGCCTAGAGATGCTGCGAGAGATGGCGGCGATTAGGTAGGTCTGCGAGCGTCCGGCGGCAAGATGCAGCGAAGATGCCTGGCGGATGATGCTGGCGAAGAGGTAGGTGCGAGTGTGCGCAGAGATGCTGCGCAGAGTGTAGGTGGCGAGCGGCGTGCGCAGAGATGGCATGCGAGAGGATGCTGCGAGAGTAGTGCAAGCGTGCGCAGGAGATGCTGCGAGAGATGCTGCGAGAAGGTAGGTGCGCAGTGTGCGCAGAGATGCTCGAGAGAGGCGAGCGTCGCAGAGATGCAGGCGAGAGATGCTGCGAGAGGTAGGCGCAAGCGGCGCCAGAGAGCTCGAGAGATGCTGCGAAAGAGGTGGTGCGAGTGTGCACAGAGATGCTGGCGAGAAAGGTAGGTGGCGAGTGTCGCGCAGAGATGCTGCGAGAGTAGGTGGGCGAGTGTGTGCAGCAGATGCTGCGAGAGGTAAGGTGCGAGTGTGCGGCAGAGCTGCTGCGAGCAGGTAGGTCGCGCATGCGAAGAATCGCAAGAGGTAGGTGCGAGTGTGCCAGAGATGGCGCAGAGTAGGTGCAGTGTGCGCAGAGTATGCGGCGAGAGTAGTGCGAGTGTGCGCAGGCAGATGCCCTGCGAAGGTAAGGGCGAGTGTGCGCATAGATGCTGCAAGAGATGCTGCGAGAGGTAGGTGCGAGTGTGCGCAGAGATGCAGCGAGAGATGTCTGCGAGGGAGGTAGGTGCAAGCGTGCGCAGGAGATGCTGCAAGCAGATCGCGAGAGGTAGGTCGAGCGGTGCGCACGAGATGCTTGCGAGAGATGCTGCGAGAGGTAGGTGCGAGTGTGCGCAGAGATGGCGACGAGAGGTAGGTGCGATCGTGCGCAGAGATGCTGGAGAGATCGGGCGAGAGTAGGTGCGAGCGTGCGCAGAGTATGCTGGCGAGAGGTAGGTGCGAGGCGTGGCGGAGGAAGGATGGCTGCGAGAGTAGGTTGCGAGTGGTGCGCAGAGATCTGGCGAGAGGAAGGTGGCGACGTGTGCGGCAGAGATGCCCTGCGAGAGGTAGGTGGCGAGCGTCGCGCAGAGATGCTGCGAGAGGTAGGTGCGAGCGTGCCGCAGAGATGCTGGCAAGAGGTAAGGTGCGAGCGTGCGCAGAGATGCTGCAAGCGATGCGTCGAAGAGGTAAGGTGCGAGTGTGCGCATTAAGATGCTGCAAGAGATGCCTGCCGAGAGGTAGGTGCAGTGTGCGCAGAGATGCTGCGAGAGGTAGGTTGAGTGTGGCGCAGAGATGCTGCGAGAGGTAGGTGCGAGTGTGCGCAGAGATGCTGCAAGAAGATGCTGCGAGAGGTAGGTGCGAGTGTGGCGCAACGAGATGGCGCGAGAGGTAGTGCGAGTGTGCGCAGAGATGCTGGCAAGAGATGCTGCGGAGAGTATGTGCGAGTGTGCCGCAGAGATGCTGGCGGAGAGTAGGAGCGCAGAGATGCTGCGAGACGGTAGTGCGAGCGTGCGCGATAGATGCTGCAGCGAGAGAGCTGCCGAGAGGTATGTGCGAGTGTGCGCCAGAGAGCTGGGCGAGAGGTAGGGTGGCGAGTGTGCGGCAGAGATGAGCTGGCAAAAGAGATGCTGCGAGAGGTAGGTGGCGAGTGTGCGCAGAGAGCTGGCGAGAGGCTAGGTGCGAGCGGTGCGGGCAGGAGATGCTGCACGAGATGCTGGCGAGAGGTAAGGTGTAGTGTGTCCGCAGAGATGCTGCGAGAGTAGTGGGCGAGTGTGGCGCAGAGGCGTGCGCGAGAGGTAGGTGCGAGTGTGCGCAGAGCTGGCAGCGAGAGGTAGGTGCGAGCTGGCGCAGAGATGCAAGCGAGAGATCTGCGAGAGTTAGGTGTGAGTGTGCGCATACGGAGAATGTGGCGAGAGGTAGGTGCCGAGTGTGCGGCAGGAGATGGCGAGAGGTAGGTGCGAGTGGCAGGCAGAGATGCTGCAGAGGTAGGTACGAGTGTGCGCAGAAGATGCTGCAAGAGATGCTGGCGAGAGGTAGGTGCGAGTGTGCGCATAAGCTGCTGCAAGAGATGCGCGAGTAGGTAGGTGCGAGTGTGCGCATAGATGCTGCAAGAGGCATGCTGGCGAGAGCGTAGGTGTGAGTGTGGCGCAGAGAATGCCTGCGAGAGTTGGGTGCGAGCGTGCCGCATAGATCTCGCCGGAGAGTAGGTGGCGAGTGTGCCCAGAAGATGCTGCGAGAGGTAGTACGCAGGTGCGCAGAGCTGCTGCGAGAGGTAGGGTACATGTGGGTGTGCGCAGAGATGCTGGGCGCGAGGTAGGTTACGATGGTGCGCATAGACTGCTGGCAAGAGATGCGGCGAGAGTAGGTGGAAGTTTGCGCAGAGATGCGCGAGATGGTAGGGTACGAGTGTGCGCAGAGATGCGAGAGGTGGTGCGAGTGTGCGCAAGAGAATGGCTGCGAGAGGTAGGTACGAGTGTGCGCAGAGATGCTGCAAGTAGATGCTGCGAAGGTAGGTTGCCGAGCAAGCGCAGAGATCTGCGGAGATGCTGGCGAGAGGTTAGGCTGCGAGTGTGCGCCATAGCATGCTGCAAGAGATGCATGGCGCAGAGTAGGTGCAGTGTGCGCAAGATGCTGGCAAAGAGATCTGCGAGAGTAGTGTGAGTGTGCCAGGAATGCCTGCGAGAGTTAGGTGCGAGCGGCGCATAGATGCTGGGCGAGAGGTAGGTCGAGTGCTGCGCAGAGATGCTGGGAGAGGTGAGGTACGAAGTGTGCGCAGAGATCTGCGGAGAGGTAGGTACGAAAGTGTGCGCAGCAGATGCTGGCGAGAGGTAGTGCAGTGTGCGCAGAGATCTGCGACGAGGTCGGTATCGAGTGTGCGCAGAGAATGGTGGCGAGAGAGGGTACGAGTGTGTCGCAGAGATGGGGGGGGGGGGGGGGGGGGGGGGGGGGGGGGGGGGGGGGGGGGGGGGGGGGAAGAGGTACAGGTTGCGAGTTGTGGCGCAGAGATCTGGGCGAGAGGTAGGTACGAGTGTGCGCAGAGATGCTGCGAGAGGTAGTACGAAGTGTGCGCAGAGATGCTGCGAGAGGTAGGTACGTATGGGGTTTTTGACGCGCGCCAAAGGAAAAGATCGCGAGAGGTAGGTACGAGTGTCGCGCAGAAGATGCGCGCGAGAGGTAGGTACGAGTGTGCGGCAGAGATGCTGTGAGAGGTAGGTACGAGTGTGCGCAGAGACTGCGAGAGGTAGGTACGACTGTGCGCAGTAGATTGCTGCCGAGAGGTAGGTTGCAGTGTGCGGCAGAGATGCTGCAAGGATGCTCTGCGAGACGTAGGTGTGAGTGTGCGGCAGGAGATGCTGGCGAGAGTAGGTACGAGTGATGCGCAGAGATGTGGCAAGAGATGCTGGCGGAGAGTTAGGTGCGAGTGTGCGCAGAGATGCTGCGAGAGGTAGGTGCGAGCGTACGCGCATAGATGCGCAAGAGATGCTGCGAGAGGTAGGTTGAGTGTGCGGCAGAGATGCGGCGAGAGGTAGGTTGCGAGTGTGCGCAGAGATGCTGCGAGAGGTAGGTGCGAGTGTGCGCATAGATTGCTGCGAGAGGTAGGTGTGAGTGTGCGCCATAGAATGCTGCAAAGAGGTAGGTGCGAGTGTGCGGGCAAGGATGCCTGCGAGAGGTAGGTGCGGTGTGCGCAGAGATGCTGGCGAGAGGTAGGTGTGAGTGTGCGCAGTAAGATGCTGGGCAAGAGATGCTGCGAAGAGTAGGTGCGGATGTGCGCATAGATGCCTGCAAGAGATTGCTGGCGGAGAGGTAGGTGTGAGTGTGGCGCAGAGATGCTGCGAGAGTAGGTTGCGAGTGTGCGCGAGAGATCTGCGAGAGTAGGTGCGACGTGCGCATAGATGCTGCAAGAGATGCTGCGAGAGGTAGGTTGAGTGTGCGCAGAGATGCTGCGAGAGGTAGGTACGAGAGTGTGCGCAGAAGATGCGCAGAGTAGGTGCGATGTGCCCCCGAGATCTGCAGAGGTAGGTACGAGTGTGGCGGGCCAGAGATGCTGCAAGAAGATGCTGCGAGGTTAGGTGGGCGAGCATCGCGGCAGAGCTGGGCTGCGAGAGATGCTGCGAGAGGTATTGCGGAGTGTGCGCATAAGATGCTGCAAGAGATGCTGTGAGAGGTAGGTGCGAGTGTGCGCATAGATCTGCAAGAGATGCTGCGAGAGGTAAGGTGTGAGTGTGCGCAGAGATGCCGAGAGTTAGGTGGCGAGCGTGGCCCATAGATGCGCGGAGAGGTAAGGTGGCGAGTGTGCGCAAGAAGATGCTGGGAGAGTAGGCGTACGAGTGTGCGCAGAGATGCTGCGAGAGGTAGGTAACGAGTGTGCGGCAGAGATCTGTGCGAGAGGTAGGTGGGCGAGTGTGCGCAGAGATGCTGCGAGAGGTAGGTACGTAGTGGCGGCAGAGATGCTGCGAGAGGTAGGTGCGAGTGTGCGGCAAGATGCTGGCGAGAGTCAGGTGCGAGTGTGCGCAGAGATGTGCGAGAGGTGGTGGAGTGTGCGCGAGAGAATGCTGCGAGAGGTAGGTGGCGAGTGTGGCGATAAGATGCTGGGCAAGAGGTAAGGTGCGAGCGTGCCGGCGAGATGCTGGCGAGAGGTAGGTGGCGAGCGTCGCGACAGAGATGTCTGCGAGAGGTAGGCTGCGAGTGTGCGCAAGATGCTGCGAGAGGTAGGTGCGAGTGTGCGCAGAGATGCGCGAAGTAGGTGGCGAGCGTGCGCAGAGATGCTGCGAGAGATGCGGCGAGAGGGTAGGTGGCGAGTGTGCGCAGAATGCGCCGAGAGGTAGGGTGCGAGTGTGCCAGAGATGCCCTGCGAGAGGTTAGGTGCGAGTGTTGCGGCATACGATGCTGCAAGAGATGCTGCGAGAGGTAGGTGCGAGTGTCGCAGAGATGCTGCGAGAGATAGGTGCGAGTGTGCGCCGAGAATGCTGCGAGAGGTAAGGTGCGAGCGGTGCGCAGAGATGCGCGAGAGGTAGGTTGCGACGTGCGCAGAGAGCCTGCGAGAGGGGGTGGCGAGTGTGCGCCGGATGGCTGTGAGAGGTAGGTGCGGGTGTGCGCAGAGATGCTGCGAGAAGGTAGGTGCGAGTGTGCGCAGAGATGCTGGCGAGAGGTAGGTACGAGTGTGCGGCAGAGATGCTGTGAGAGTAGGTGCGAGTGTGCCAGAGATGCTGGCGAGAGGTAGGTGCGAGTGTGCGCAGAGATGCTGGCGAGAGTAGGTGCGAGTGTGCGCAGAGATGCGCGAGAAGTAGTTGCGAGCGTGCGGCAGAGAATGCGGGAGAGTAGGGTGGCGAGTGTGCGCAGAGATGGCGGCGAGAGGTAGGTGCGAGTGGGCGCAGAGATGCTCGCCGAGAGGTCAGGTGCGAGTGTGCGGCAGAGATGCTGCGAGAGGGTAGGTGCGAGCGTGCGCAGAGATGCTGGCGAGAGGTAGGTGGCGAGTGTCGGCGCAGAGATGCTCGGAGAGTAGGTGCGAGTGTGCGCAGAGATGCTGCAGAGAGGTAGGTGCGAGTGTGCCGCAGAGGTGCTGCAGAGTAGGTGCGAGCTGGCGCAGAGATGCTGCGAGAGGTAGGTGCGAGGTGCGGCAGAAGCTGGGAGAGGTAGGTGCGAGTGTGCGCAGAGATTGCTGGCGAGAGTAGGTGCGAGCGTGCGGCAGAGATGCTGGGCGAGAGGTAGGTGCGAGTGATGCGCGAGAGATGCCTGGCGAGAGTAGGTCGAGTGTGCGCAGAGATGTTGCGAGAGGTAGGTGCGAGTGTGCCGCGAGAGATGCCCTGGCGAGCGGAAGGTGGCGAGTGTGCGCAAGGCGAGAGGTAGGTGCGCGTGTGCGGAGATGCTGCAAGAGAGGTTGGGCGAGTGTGCGCAGAGATTGGCAGGCGAGAGATGCTGGCGAGAGCAGGATGTGAGTGTGCGCATAGATGTCTGCGAGAGATCTGCGAGAGGTAGGTGCGAAGTGTGCGCAGAGATGCTGGGCGAGAGATGCTGGCGGAGAGGTAAGGTGCAAGCATGGCGCAGAGATGCTGGCGAGAGATGCTGGAGAGCGTAGGTGCAAGCATGCCGGGCAGGAGATGCTTGGAAAAAAACAGAAGGTAGGTGCGAGTGTGCGCAAGATGCTGCGAGAGGAAGGTGCGAGTGTGCGCAGAGATGCTGCGGTTGCTATGCATCACTACACTACCACATTACTATATTACTTCATTGTTACATTACTTCATTACCTTCGCCAGGGGCTTGGCGGGGGTTATGTTTTTACGCTAGCGTGTGTTTGAGTGTTGCGTTGTGTGTTTGTGGGTTTGTGTTTGTTTAACGATGCAACGTTCAGTTCACTTGTCCCGCTAGGTGGCGGCTGGCTGTAGACTTAACAACACGGCAACCACAGGCTAAGGGGCAAGACCACAGTCCTCCCCTCACCTGCACGCTTGCACTAACCGATCCAATTATTATTTAATTAATTCATTTTTCAGCTAATTAATTAATTAATTAAAAAATTCACATTTGAAGAGAATTCAGCTGCCTTGGCGGAGGTCTGTGCTCTCCGAGTGCTCTAGTTGTTACATTACTACATTGTTACATTACTACATTGTTACATTACTTCATTGCTACATTACTTCATCGGTACATTACTACATTACTTCATTGTTGCATTACTACATTACTTCATTGTTACATTACTACATTACTTCATTGTTACATTACTACATTGTTACATTACTTCATTGTTACATTACTACATTACTTCATTGTTACATTACTACATTGTTACATTACTACATTACTTCATTACTACATTACTAGAAAAAAAAAAAAAAAAAACAACATTACTACATTCATTAATTGCTATAGTGATACATTCTTCTATTCATACATTGCCATATTACAACATTGCTGTGGTGCTGCATCATCACTATGCACACCTGCCCCTGCTCTGTTGCTATGCACTCGTTGCTGAACGTGGTTGCTATGCGCTCGTTGCTGTAGGTGTCTGCTGCTCGTGAGGAGGTACCAGGCCGACGTGGCTTCCCCGGTTACATGTACACCGACTTGGCGACCATCTACGAGCGTGCGGGCCGTGTTGAGGGCAGGAACGGCTCCATCACGCAGATTCCCATCCTCACCATGCCCAACGACGGTGAGTACATAGCATCACCCCGACTCACATGTCTTGTTGTAGGACCGTTTGCATTATCTCGACTCGGGCATGGCCACACGCTGCAGGTTTTCTGTGAGTGACATTACAATAATAATTCTTGCAAGCAGTCTAACAGATTTGCCCTCGGTGTGCGAGCGAATACTTTTGTCAGTCGTGATTTGCCACCAACCGTGGTTGGTTGCACCGCATTTAATGGATAGTATGATTAATGACAGGAATTTAACCAATGTGTTGAGTCAGCAAAAACTTTCAAAACCATCAGAGGTATTGTGTGTATAGTGACATTGTTAGTGTTTAGTGACATTACAGTGGCAGTGTTTAGTGTTAGTGACATTACAGTGACAGTGTTAGGGTTAGTGACACTACAGTGGCATTGTTAGTGTTAGTGATACTACAATGGTAGTGTTAGTGACATTACAGTGACAGTGTTAGTGTTAGTGACATTACAGTGACAGCGTTAGGGTTAGTGACACTACAGTGGCATTGTTAGGGTTAGTGGCATTACAGTCTAAGTGGCAGTCTTAGTGTTAGTGACACTACAGTTGCAGTGTTAGTGACAGTACAGTGGCAGTGTTAGTGACAGTACAGTTGCAGTGTTAGTGACACTACAGTTGCAGTGTTAGTGACAGTACAGTGGCAGTGTTAGTGTTAGTGTTAGTGACACTACAGTAGCATTGTTAGTGTTAATGACAGTATAGTGGTAGTGTCGTTGCCATTGGTACTGTCTCTGGCAGTGTCATTGCCATTAGCAGTGGGAGTGGTAGTGTCAATACCAGTGTGTGTGGCAGTACTCCCTCTTTTTGAGGGTAGGGAGTCCGTTGGACTCCCGTGTTCAAAAGTTAATTTCTACCCCTGGCTTGCCCCCCATGCAGATATCACGCATCCCATCCCTGACCTGACGGGTTACATCACCGAGGGACAGATCTACGTCGACCGTCAGCTGCACAACCGACAGATCTACCCGCCGATCAACGTGCTTCCGTCGCTGTCGCGTCTCATGAAGTCCGCCATCGGCGAGGACATGACGAGGAAGGACCACGCCGACGTCTCCAACCAGCTGGTGAGTGCCTGCGGGTCACACTAGTAGAGGTGTGACGATGCGGGTCACACTAGTAGAGGTGTGACGATGCGGGTCGCTCACTAGTAGAGGTGTGACGATGCGGGTAGCTCACTAGTAGAGGTGTGACGATGCGGGTAGCTCACTAGTACAGGTGTGACGATGCGGGT